GTCAAACCCGCCTGAGTTTTTTCTTCTGTTCTTTGTTATTCTGTTTCTTTGTTGGCTGCAGTCATACTTGGCTATCTTGATATGGGATTTAGAGTTTTGTGTGGCTTCTAGCTACTGTTGGTATTGATTGAAAGGATGTTGTGTTTTCTACATTTTTCTTTACAGATCTGGCAAAAGTTTGCAGAGTAATTGATTTTTTGAATCAAATCTATTGGCCATTATTATTGTGCAAGAAACCAGATTTGGGTTCCATTAGAGAGGAGGTTTGGGGAAGAAGGAGATGGTGATTGGAGTGGTAAGGGATGACCGGAGCAATGAGGGATGATCAGTGCTGATTGGGTTGCAAGATGAAAAGACATATGAGGATAGAGAAAGACTAGAAAGGAGAAAAAGAGGGGTTGGAAGATGAAGATGGGGTATTTAAGAAATTTTAAATTTTTTAATAAATTAATTAATTAAAATTATGTGGACAATAAAAATATAACAGTGAGTCAAGTTATTTTCCATGTAATTAAAGATTTCAAAGAAGAATTGATTTCGTGGCAACTTAACATGCCATTTGGCACTTCCATTGACGGAAGGACGAAATTGATCTTGAAAATTCAAGTTCAAGGATTTTTTTAGTACTTTTAGAAGTTTGAGGGTAAATTTAGTTCAACAATGAAAGTTGAGGGACTGAACTAGGGATTTAACCTAAAATAAATGACTTCCATTTCCATTGTGACTCGAATTAATGATTTTTCTTTTTCAATTTTAAGTTGTACAACGGAGTCAATGTGCTCTTGTTCTTTTAATTAGTATTTGCATATTTACTAATCTTTATGTTCATAATATTTTTTAATTTTATGTTCGGATTAAAGATTTGAGAATAATTTATAATATATCTTATTATATTTTAAAAATTATTAAAATTATTAATAAATTTTAAATAAATATCTAACGGGTCTTATAAAATCTTTAATAAATTCTTTAAAAATTCTTAATAAAGACCTTTAAAAATACTTACAAAATTTTAAATATATACTTAATAAATCTCTCTTAAGAGTTTAAAATCCACTTAAAATTAAAGAATCTAATCTAATACTATTTTAATTCAAGTAGTATATTTGAATTTATCTAATATATTACCCGACTATATCTTTAGCTGTAGTACACTATTCCAATTCAAAAACTAATTAACCCCAACTACATCTTCTCTCTTTGGCAATAATATGTCCCTATTTAAAGTGTAATTAACATTTGCATTAGCTTTTTCTCTTTTTTAGCATTAGTTATTAATCACCCGACTGTTCTGTATTTTCTCTTTTTAACTGCAGTATACTATTCCAATTCAATGACTAATTAACCCTGACTATGTCTTTTCTCTTTAGCAGTAATATATTCTAATTTAAAGTGTAATTAACATTTACAGTAGCTATTAATTACACGATTGCATCTTCTCTCTTTAGTAGCAGTATACTATTCCAATTCAGAGACTAATTAACATTTGGATTAACTCCAACAGGTATCTAATGACTTGGCTTCTACGAATTGCACCATTATATACATGGAAATGCTATTGGGATAACTTTTTTATCTCACCTTTTTTTTTCAATTTGATGTATCATTAAAATGATCGGTTTTTTTAATTCATGTGAAATTTGTGATATTATATGCATCCACTAATTTAATGATATGTGAAAGTTGTATAAAAAGATGTGATATAAAAGTTGTTCCAATAGCATCACCCTTATATATATACTGGTTAAAGCTACCATTAATTCTTAGATTTCCCTTTTCTTTCTTTTTTCTTCTTCTTTTTATTTTTTATTTTTATTTTTTATAATTTGCTTCCTTGAATCTAATAAATCTTAGTTCTCAAACTATTAGTGGTTTAATAAGATAAATCCTATTCTAGAATTGTCCTACATAGCCAATGAATTTAAGATACTATAGCTAGCCTCAAGAAAAAAAATCCCATTAAGGGGGGTCTTTGGTGCTGTGGGCATCCGACATTAAATTAAGTTCCAATAGTCTGTTTAATTGATGTGTTTAATAATCAGATTACATGATTTTGTGATAATTTTTCTATTGGTTTAATTATTCAAAAGCAGAACCTCCTGCATAGCCCTAACAAAAAGTGGAATATTCTACACCGGTGCTGTATAAACCCTATGACCCATAAATTCCGAGAAATACGTATTGGAATATACCGAAGACTTTATAAAGATTATTCCAAAAGAAAATAGATTATCATGTTAGAGTTTATAAATTCGATCGTTGGTTTGTTTCTATTTTTTTTTTTTTTTTTTTACATGTCGGATAATTGGCATATGCGGGAGAGTTTATTTAGAGTTTCTGCTTTTACTTACTGTGATGCTTTGATTATCATCGTATGACACAAGTGCATATATTGGTCACCTTTAATGTAGTTGTAGTTGCATTAAAATTGATATTATCATCAACGACTTAAATAATTTAATAGTCATTTTCTTTCACTGAAAATAAAAGATTTTGAGTTTGAGTCTCATGACATGCAGGTGGGATAAGATAAGAGATGAGAAATGGTTGCCTTCCATTATACAACCAAGATAAAAAAAAAGAAAAAAAGAAAAAAAAAAAGAAACTGATATCATCAAGGCCAAATAGAAAGCCAATCGATCGAATTTGTCCTACCCATCACATATGCAACCACTACTAAAATGTTGGATTTTAGCAAGTAATAATTAGCAACATAATTTTGTTTGTGGGTGATTATACTGATATGGGATATGTTGGTAATTGATACAATAATATCATGTTGCATCTATAAGTAGCCCGTAGAATTAGCAACAAAAAATATATTGTTGAAACAAAAATTAACAATGTGTTATATTTTGTTAAAATTTTTCGATTGGCAAAAAATTTAGCAACATCAAACATGTTGCTAATTTCATAAATTGCTAACATAACTCATATTACTGTTTTACATTGACCAGCTGCTCTATCTAATTTTCAATTGCAGGACTATTATTATGACATGCATCTATTATATATATCCCTTTCTTGCTTTCTAATCTTTGCTATTTGTTTTGTACTCTCTCAATTCAATTCATATCTTCCACCTCCTCACATAATTATTTTCTTTATTTTTATTTACAAGCAATTCTTTTGTAAATTATTAAATTTCTTTTTTTATTTCTTTATTAACAAATATTTTTCTAATTTATTTACAACAACTTTCTATTTCTACATATAATATTTGCTAAATGAACAATTAAAGATATTTTGATAGCCAATATAATGGTATAAATGTTTTATTATTTCTCCTCCCTTATTTCTCATTTTATGTTTATGCATATCATTTACTAACATATTACTTACTTGTATGGGATTTTACACAGAGATCATCGATAATACTCTTGAATCATCTTGGAATAGCCCATCTCGGAGTCTTCCTAGGAGGAAATTGAAAAAAGTAAGGAACCATGTATCAATGGGTCAACACATTCGATTGTCTAACATTGTAGACTACTCTATTTGTCAAATATGTGGCATTCCTGGATATTTAGCTAATGTGTGTTTGTAACGATATGCAATAACTTGTCAATTGTATAATCCTGAGAGTCATATTACAAAAATTTGCTTGGATTGTTGATGATCACAATTTGTTCCAAACCCATTAGAAACTCCCGATGAGTCTTCTGAAAATATTACAAAGAGTTTGCGCAATGATTGTTGGTGAGTTTCATTTCAAAAAAATCTTAGGATTACGCAATTTAAAAATTATGTTCTATTCAAGAACCGTAATATTCTTATTTTAATTCATTATATTCTTCAATATAATATATAATTTCCCCTATTGTCTCTTTTGCATCCATCTTGTTTTTAAATTTTAGCCTTTGTCAATTATTTACATTTTTTATTTTTTAAACATTAACATCAGCAAATCATTGTCAATACATATATTTTCTTTATTATTTATCTACATATTTATCTCTTAGTAACTTAATGTTCATTATTCACGTTAGTGAAAATTATATGTAACATCGTTTATATCCTTATTTACATAACATTATACATTAATTTTTCGTAACAATCTAAATCATATTTTTCATTGTCTATTTTCATGATTAATGTTACCATTTTTTTTTATAAATTATTTTATCAATATCAAATCATTTATACTACAAACTATGCATTGACATAAAAATTACGAACTTAGTGTAAATTCTAGGGATGAGGTTGTATTAAGAGTCAGCATGTAATGCACCACTCTGTTGATTGATGAGAGACTTGGCAATATAGTGGTAATAAAGGTTTCAGCAATGTAATGCATGTTACAGAAGTATCAATTAGCTATACTTCCAATGTCAGTAAATGCCAAAACTTTTTAGAATTGAACTGAAAATCTTCTTTTTAGTTTTAGCAATATAATTCACGTTGGTGATTTTAACTTTTTTAAATTTAAATATTTATTAGTATCATGGATTACGTTGATGATTGGGGGGCTTTAGGTGAGCTATCCCACTAGATAGCATGACAATGTACGTTGCTGAATAAAAATACCGACGAAAGTATAGTTTAAATTAGATCTGGCAAAATTGGACCCAATCTGAAAATCTGACTCAATCCATCTGTAATGGGTAGGGTAATGGGTTTTATATGTTAATCCGAAATCCGAAATAACCCAAAATGAAATTATCTGAACCCAAATGGGTTGGGTCAGGGTGGGTTGAGTCACCCGAAATGACCCGAACTTTTTTTTATTCATTTTTATTAGATTATTTAAAAATTAATGTTAAATTTCTAATTTCTTAATTCTAAATGTAGAAATAAATAAAATACTCAAATCCTAACCTCTCACCAATTTCACTTATTATATATTTTTTTATAGAATACTTATTATACTTAATATATATAATAATAATAATACTTTTAAAAGTAAAAATAATACAATGCAAAAATAAAAATAAAAGTAAAGTATGTAAGGTATGTATGTAAGCTAAATAAATCACACACATAGCAATAACAATTTGTATAAATAATAAATCTCAAGTCTAACACATAATATATACAACAATAGCAACATACATAAATAACAAACCTCAAGTCAAACATATAATACACGTAACAATAGTAAATCATATAAGACTTCTTCTTTTCCCAAGGCAAGTACATAAATACATCCTTACAAGTTACCCAGTACCTGTTGAGTTAAGTACTACATATAACTCTTAGAATATTTAGATAAATATAAAGCCTAAAACACTATACCTAAATATTTTTCAGTCAAATATTAAATATAGATCATACTCAGCTTGTACCAAGCATTATTTTCGAAGACCTTCTGTGTAAGTTACTCCTGTGGACTTCAACCAATCTCCTCCCTGGATCAACTCCCTTACAGTAAACTTCTGGGCCTCTTTTGAGTTAGTGATCACATGATATCCAGCCCATTTTACCCGCTTGCTCGTACCTGCACCCGCGCCCTTGTTCATGTACTCCCCGTAATATAATGTCTTCAGTGCAAAATCCCCATGCCAAGGAGCCCACCCTGTTGGGTCAATATGATCGCCAATGTTGGATTGCATCACAACGGTTCTTGAATAGGCCTTCCAGGGTCTGCCCAAATATGTCTTGATCTTGCTTTTAACGGGCCGAAGATCTGTGCTGGCTTTAATCTCACATTTCTGGATTGAAGTTCCCGTGTTTTGATTTGGGTCTTCTCGGCCTTGGGCAGTGAGCATGTTGGACTGGTTGTCCATGGGCTTTCGAGCTTCGATCGTGCAGTTCTGGAACACCGCGGCGGCGTTTCCGAATATGAAGTCCACCGTTCCGGTGATGAAGCTGTCTCTGTAGAATTGACGGTTGGTGTGAGCGTACAGGGTGTCTTGGTAAGCGTCGATTTTGCAGCGGTTTATGACAGCATGGTCAGCTCCGACGCGTAGCGCCACCGCTTGGTGCTTACGCGGTCCGGCGGTGTTCTGGAACCCTAGATCTTGAGCTATGAATCCGTCGCCGACAGCAGCTGCATCGGGAAAATTGAAGAACGATTAGCAGATTTCCCTATACCCAAAAGTTAGAGGTTATACTGTTGTTATAGAGAGTAAAGTGTAAAGATTTTTACCGACGGTTGCCGATTTGAACGTTGTGGAACCATCTACAACGTTGAGGCTGCCGGTGATGATGGTGGCACCCATACCATCGCCGACGATCATCAGATTTTTCTTGATTGATCCAATCTCCACATTCTCTTCGTAGATACCCTTTTTCACGTGGATGACATGCCTGGTCTTGCTCTTACTTGGGGCGGCGGCCACTGCCTCTGTCAGAGTCTTGTACTTACCACTTCCATCCTTAGCCACCACAACATCCGGTTTGATGTCCTTAGGTAAGGACATTAAAAGCCTTCTGTCCCTGCTAGTGACCCAAGATGGAAATTCATCCATCAATGGCTGGATCAACTTTTGTTTTTTAGGTGAATTTGCAACGAAAATGGCTAGGGTAGTTCTGGCTCTTGATATCAAGTCATTGAGGGTAGACTCCATAAGGGTTTTGGTTGGACCTTCCAAGCCATCCAAGCATGTGACATGGTTAGTGAGTACACTGCTTAGCCATGAATGAGAATCTGCATACGAATGAACATCATGGTTTTTAAGACCAGTCATGGAATCCATGATTCTATCCATGGAAAACTCCATCAACTGAGAACAATCAGCCAAAGCTGCTTGTTCTCTTTGGTTGTTGATCCGATTCCTGACATTATTTGCCATTCTCATGGTATTCTTCACCTCGGAGATGGACCTCTCCAAGAAGAGTTGCAATAGGTCACTGGTTTTGATGGTTGTGTTTGGGGCTATTTGAGAGATCATGGCCAAGCATGACTCTTCGTCATGGGCTCCCTCACAGATCTTGAGAGGTGGGGGAGGACGATCAATTGGTCTAATTATGATCAAACCGATGGTAAATAGAGCAACTAAGGAGAGGGTTAAGCAGCAAGGCTTTCTATAAGAAGTTTTTGTAGAGTTTAGTAGAGGCTGGTGGATGGTTGCCATGGTAACAAAGGTATGCGATGCTGCTGATCTGCTGTGTTTAGTTTGTTTGTCTTAAAGCCCTTTAATGATTATATAGCAAACCCCCAGATATTAAAATGATGTACAGATCAAAAGGATAAAGGCTTCCCATCAATTAAGGGGAACAAATTAAACCTGGCTGCCAACAAAGAATGTCATCATCGGCCACTATTAATCTCCTCACTTTCTACTTTCTACTTTTGCACATAGTGTTCTCTAGAAAATTGACTAGAATGTGATAAAGCCTATCTGCCTCTGCCTTTCGCATACTTCCACTAATGGATAGAGTTTTCAAAAGTTGGGATTAGAAAGAGTAATGTTTTCACTAAAAAATGTATGGGAGGAAACTTATTGAAAGTAATCTTTTTGTATAATTTTTTTTTACAATCTCATATATTCCATATTATTTAATTAATTATAGAATTATAGATTTTTTTCACTCATTTAGATTTTATAGTACTATATCTATTAACTTATTTAACGATATATTAAATTATATAAAAAATTTAATTACCCTATAAAAAATGATTGAGAAGTGTTAGTCGCACTATCACCAAGTTACATTTTAATATTTATGTGATTGTCCTTGGTGATGAGTAATCTTAAAGATTAACATATTCAAAAAACTATAATCAATCTCGTATATAACACATGATCTAATCATAGTGACGAATTTCAATACGCAATTTTCCTTTTTCCATAAATTTATTACCATTTTACTAAGCTGAGGTACTATCAAATGGTTCAAAATCAGTGTGCATAGGTTTTATTCTTCATAATAGGAGAAGTTTCGTGGAAAGGCATAGAAAAGAAAAAGAAACATGGTATGTGCACTCTCGCGTGCACTCCTGCTCTCTTGCGTGCACTCTTGCCCTTTTAATTCTCATGTCTTATAGCCCTTTAACACAACTTAATTAGAGGGTTTTACTTAATTAATCATCCTATGGATAATCAAATAAAAGTACAAGCCTGAACTGTCACGTCCTCCCGTAAATTAGGGATACAGGATATTTGCCACTCTCCATTATTTGCATTTGGTCCTTTGTCCGCAGCTTTAGCTCTTACAACCAAAAAAAATTGACCTTATCTGAAACTATAGATTAAACAAGCACGATAGAAAGTGGGAGCAAGGTTATGGTACCAGCGAAAGTATTAAGATTATTAAGATTATAAATATTATGTTTTTTTTTAATAAATTTAATTTGATTTTTTACTATTTTAAACATGAAAATTTATTCATATAAGTTATTAAATTTATATATACAATTAGAAACTTTATTTTATAATTTAGACTACATTGGATTATAAAACATGAACCATTGAATAGATAAGAGCATCTAATATCAGAGATTCACTCTCATTTAATGGTTAATATAGTATAATCTAGTATAATTTGAACTGTATTATATTTTTTCTTTTGAAATTTATGTTTAACAAATAAAAAAAGTTGAATTAAGTCTACTAAAATTAAATGAAGGGAGTATTGTTTTTAAAAATATTGATTTTGTTTAATTTAATTAATAAAAATAAAAATAATTATAATTACTAACTAAAAAATTTAATTAATATTTATTGATTAATAAATTAAAATTATTTAACAAATTAATATTTTCAAACACTATTAAAAAATAACATTTAAAATTTTAATAACCTCAACATTTTTTTTTAATGTTAGTTATGAGCACACCCTAGAAAGTGAGTTTCCACTAGATAATGGAATGATTTAATTATGTGCAAATTTCTTCTTTCCATGACTTTAGTTATGACCATTTGAATACACTAAAAGTCTAAAAGAAATCGAATGATTCAAAACATTTGTGCTAGGTTTGGTTTTGATTATCAAAAGTAGTAGTGGGTTCTACTCTTTTAGGTCTTGAATTCATTCCTTAAACATGAAAGTTGAGCACGGTGATCATGAGTCATGAGTGTTTTAAGATATCACACTAAAAAATGCCTCTGGTTGGGTCACGGACACGTGTCAGTGCCTCTCACTTTTAGAACAAGTTGCGATTTTTTTAATGAAAGACTAAAATAAAATCTGATAGTAGGAGAAAACATAACATTTTACAATTATGATCAAGTTTTTAATATTATTTCACTTTGATTCATTTTTTTCAGTTTTATTCCTCATTCTCTTTACCCAATTTTGATTTCGCAAAAAGGGTCGGTTTACCGCTCTATTTTTGTTAATTATTGAAATAAAACTTTATATTATTTAATGAAGTAAATCACTCATTTTAGTTTTATAGTAAATAAGATTAACTTTTTTACATTTATGTTGAAATTAATTAATTTAAATTTAATTAGTGACGTCATCCTATCGTCTCAATTTCTTCTCTTATTTATTTTTTCAAAATCATAAATTCAACATGGTTAGCCACTTCAATATCAATATCTTTGAAAAATTAAAGGTAGTAATCATGAGATTTTTTAAGGTAGTTCTAGAAAAAGCTTTGGGGCTTGTTTGTTGCGAGTGTGGATGTCTCCACTTGGCTAGTAGTAGAACTTACCTGTGAAATATCAAAACTAATAGGTTTCATATTATGAAAAGGAGAATTACACAATCCATCCACCAAAGGCAAACTACCAAAATTGCAATACAGTTTCAGCTATCCAACTCATCAGAGTTCATCAAGATGGAAATGTAGTTCTCTCTTCTAATTACCTAAGCATTAGCAATAATGAGACTTAAGCTTTTATGTACTCTTAAATGTATCCAACTGAATTTTTGTTTCTAAAGAAACCAAACTACAGACCATCTTCTATCATATGACTAACACATACTAAGATGCACTAAAAAGAAAATCGAAATCAATTACTTTTAACATACTCTAAACGTCTCCAAATGAATTATTCAAATGTCTCCCACCAATCTGGCCAAAATCTTCATCTATTTAATGTTGGCTTAATTTAATAAATAGTCTAATAACTTATATATTTATTTATTTATTTTGTCTATTATCTTTACATACTTTCATATCTATTTATTGTCTTTTACTTTTATTTCAATTTAGTTTAATCTATTAATTATCTAACAACAATTTCACTCCATTTAATCAAGTTGATCTTCAACTATATGTTTTTTGTGAATTTTTACTCTTGAAATTAATTTTGAAATAAAATTAATTGTGTGAAGATAATAAGTTTCTTTTCACTATTTGAGGAATTATAACATTTATCATGTATTGCTTTAACTTCTTCTTTTGACAATTCTCCCTTATAACAGAAACTACAATTATTAACATACTTTAATAGCTTGCATAATTTGTTACAGACTATTGTACTAGCTAGGACAACTTTGTTTTAATTTTGATTTAACATTTAGTTATTTTTCTATTAAAATTAATAAAAATTTTGTACGATAGACTATTCTGAAATATTTTACAAAATTTATAGACTATTGAGAAAGAAAACTAACTTTCTAAACTAAATAAAATTAGATTGATAGCTAATAGATTAATCATTGAATTAAGCCATTGAATGTCACTGCAGTTCCTAGACCTGATTGACATGTCAACATCCCCAATCAGATAATGCTTCAAAGTGTACTTTGCTCCAACGATCAAGCAACAATGAATAGCTATTGAGGTTAACTAGTGTCAATACATTATACCTCAGTTCCTCTACTATGTTGACATTATTGAACAAACATCAAACCTTTACCGACTTTCAGCAAATCCTCAATGACAACAGTGTGACTAGCAAACTACAAAACAAGTTCAAGTTTCACTCTTTTCCGATGCTTGTAATACCATCTTACAGATGAATAAACTACTGCAAAATACCACCTAAAACCTTTTGAATTTATTAGTTTTCCCCAACCATACCTTCACTCAAATAACTCCTACTTTTTAAAACCTTCGCAAGTGTTTGAATAGTGGAATAGAATTCTGCACATTATTTTAGGCTGCAAATCACTACTTTTTACCAAGTACAATCATTAGTGACCTTCTTAAACATCAACCAAGCCTCTCTACCCCCATCATTCTACTTGTTGTCGCCAGTCAGCCTGTTCTCCTTAAAGTAGTGATTTGCATCCTAGAACAATTCAACAGAATTATATTCCTACTACAAGATCTCATTCCCCCCATAAACATAACCATCATATAAATTCCCAGCAAGATGAAGGCAGTAATCTTTATCTTTCAGATTTCCTACTTCAATTACAAGAATTTAGGAAAGATAAGCATCCGTTTTGAGTTAAGATAAAGAATCAAAGGATAAATTACAGAGCAATATAAGTGAACCAGATGGATCAGTGTGAAGCAATAAAATCAATTTCAGAAAATCTTACAGGACATGGATTTAAAGCAAAATCGGCCTTTGTCAAGTAACAAAAATTTCATCAGGCCAAAATATGTGCAACAAAAGTTGAAATTTTAACATCCAACAAATTCAGTGCTGATTCTCAACTAAAATATTCAATTCAAAAATAGCTCATCACTTCATTGTTGTCGCTGGTTGATGAGGCTTTAATTCCATTTAGAAGGCCAGAATGCATGGACAACATATCCCGTCTTCCAATTATCCAAGGAAATCACCTTATTCACCGCCCAGAAAGAAACGAGCATCACGAAAATCATTGCTACACGTTTCACAGTGGTATCCTTCACCCAAACTAAAAAGTGAGTGACAAATGCTAGCAACAATCCTACCACAGTATACAAAAACCCGATGAAAAATCCCTCAGCTCCAAGCTGAATCCCTGACCCCTGGTAGAAGAAAATCAGCTTGCTAGGATCATTTCTGTCCACTAAAAACATCGGCATATTCCTGATTATATTATGCATTGCACCGGAGACGCTAAAGAAATACACAAAGACTGCTCCAGCAAGCCAAGCCTTGGGATCGAGTAGCAGGGTCTCTCTGGTGAAGATCTTCTTGAACATAAACTGAGACCAGATCAACAAGATAGGGACAATCACAGTAAGCTGTTGCTTAGAAAAAATAGGCGGACGATGGATCGTGCCAACGGTAAGCTTAGTTCTGGCCTCGACAAACTCAGCCATGGACTCAGCCATCAGGGAGAAATAGCTTTGATCCATCTGCTCTGAGTCATCTTTCATGGATCTAGCCGCCTCACCTACTAGACCGATGTGTGGGAAAGACTTGACACCGAAGAGGTGAAACGAAGACTGAGACTCCCGGAACTCGATGTCGCAGAAGAAGAGCTTGGTGGATCGGTTGTTGTTTTCAATAAATGAGGATGCAAGGAGGCCGAATTCCTTGCGGAGCTCCTTGAGGCGGAGCTCTGTTTTGTCATGGAGCTGGGCGGCATCGAAGAAGATGAGGAGGGAGTAAGGGCGGGGAGCGGTGGTGGAGGCGAGGAACCTGGAGACTGTGCTGTCGTCGAGGTGGATGACTCCCGACGTCGATTGAGACTGGAGGGCCAGGAGGTCGTTAACGAGGACCGATTCCGACTCGGATCCCGCGGTGAGGAGGAAGACGGAGACGATGTTGAAGGAAGCTAGGAGGAGATGAAGGTGTAATTTAGCAGGAAAGATCGCCATTTTCCTGATTTGGTTTGGGCCATTTTCCTGTTCTTATATGGGTTGGACACTTGTACTCTCGGAGAGCGGTGGGTTGACCGTAAATCTGTGATTTCATTTCTTGGGTTGGGTCAGGCCATCGGGCCATTGAAGCCCGAATCTAGCATCCTATTATTATGTTCAAATATATACATATTTAGCAATTGAATATCTAAAAAATTAAAAAGAGAAATACTTCAATATTAGTATACCATTTTGATAAAGTATAAGAGAGAAAAAAATTAAAAAAAGTCTCATTTTGTTTTTAAAATAAGTTATTTTAATGTTTTTTAATAATAATTTATTAAAGTGATATAATTTTAAGAGATTAATAAGTATTAATTTATATTTAAAAAATTATATAAAAAATATTTTTAAATTACGTTATTTTAATGAAATA